GGTTTGGAAACAAGCAGGCAGGTGCAAATGGGACATTGAGTGCACAATCTCTCACATCTCTGTGCCTTGATGAAAACTTAATTGCACTTGTTACTCCATTTAAACAATTAATGAGATACACACATGGTCACCTCAGGAGATGTGATTCCCACCTGAAGCGCTGAAATGATTACACAGCAAGAGTTTTTATAGAGACGATGGGGTGAAGACCGAAAAAACTATTCTCCTGAACGCTATGAGCCAGCAATTCACTAAATGATGCATAATACAAATTTAGCTGCAGTATGTCTCCTCAGAAAACACTAAATAAATAAATAAATAATCGATGTGTGTGCAGTCTTTGTCTTCTGCAGTCTACAGAGGTTTTGTGTACCATACTGGTTTAAATATATAATTAATTACACTAATAAATAGCATCATGATGATCATTATGTCTCTTTATCTTGAGAATTCCTATTTACTACTATCAATTAAATATATATATTTTTTTAAACATGAGCAAGATGCTTGTTTAAACCACATGACCAACTCCTGCCATGATTCAGAGTTAAAGGGATAGTTCACTTTGAAATAAATTTTTGGTATGTTTTAGCTTACCTCAAGGGCATCCAAGATGTAGGTGTCTTTGTTTCCGCAGTAGTTTCAATTTTGATATTTTTAGGTCAAACCGTTCTTGTCTGTCAGTCATATAATGCAGGTCTATGGTCACCACCTCAAAGAGCATGCACAGAGAAGTCCAAATTAAACATGATTTAATGACTCGTAAATGTAAGTACACATTGATGGCCTAAGACACGAAACGAGCGGTTTGTGTGAGAAAACGAACAGTATTTATATCGTTTTTACCTCTTGTAAACACAGCCACGTCCAAGTGATCTGAGGGCGCGGGCGCTTCGCTCTGTGCATGCTCTTTGAGGTGGTGACCATAGACCTGCATTATATGACTGACAGACAAGAAGGGTTTGACCTAAAAATATCAAAATTGAAACTACTGCGGAAACAAAGACACCTACATCTTGGATGCCCCTGAGGTAAGCTAAAACATACCAAAAATTTATTTCAAAGTGAACTATCCCTTTAAGATGGTCTGCCTTGATGAGGGAAAGTCCTATATGTCTGCTTTTCCATAGTAACAACATTTCTAGCAGTTCTTCTCAGAAAACACAGCTTGTTTTTATTCCATCCTATATTCCGAAAGGAACTCCTTGAACTCTATTATGCTGCATTGACCCAACTCACACCTAATGTCAAATCTATAAATGGTATCTATCTCTACATATCAAAGTCCTCTTCAGTTGAAATGAATGAAAACAAATATACAACAGAAATATTTCCAACCAATGAATATTCATATTACATGATGCAAAACACAAAAATTGGCTAATGTGACCAATTCATGTGAAGTTAAGGTGATGAATCTGACTTATGTAGTCTCATTTTACGAATTCCCTTCCTTCAGCATACTCTGAAGCTCAAGATCTTCTGCATGCCTAGCATGCTTGTGATTTATAAGAACTCTCCCTCAAAAGGTCAATTAGACCTTTTCGAAAGAAGATCATTCTGAAAACAATTTTTTAAAAATCCACACGATTTGACAATTTGAGGGAAGTGATGGTTAGAAAAGAGAGAACTGCAAATATAGGCAACACATGAGGCCAATGCTTACACTGAACACTTCAGCCAACAACTAATGCGCCCTAAGCATTTTGAGCAACACAAATAGCATTTGAAAGTTGGTATACCACATTACATTCATACATTTTACCTTACAGTATCTAGTATTCTACCATGGTAAATAAAAAAAAACAATGAACTACTGTGACAAGCACATTTAGCTTACTCGTGCACCAAATCACATGATGGAGGACGTCACTTGACTAGGAAGAACCGCATTAAAATGTTTGTGAGTCTTGTGACTGACTAATGCCAGAAAGTAAACATACGTACAGTGCTTGCAAGAACAGATAGTGGAACTACTTGTTAGATTAGGATTAGGAATGATCTTGCAGAACAAGTACTACAGTACATACTTGATTCAGAGTATGAGGTTATATATTATTTTTTTGCCTCAAGACAGAGGAGGTCCAGTTAGACACAGGGGATGTGTCTAATCAACAACATAACACAATGCAATGCAGATAAAACAGTATTATTAAGAATTAATTATTAGTCACATTGGCATATGCAATTAAAGAGACAGTTCACCCAAAAATTAAAATGTTGTCATCATTTAATCACCCCCAGATTGTTCCAAACCTGTATGAGTTTCTTTGTTCTGTTGAACACAAAAGAAGATATTTTGAAGAATGTTGGTAACTAGTTGACAGTAGCCATTGACTTCCATAGAAAAAATACGGGATGTCAATGGCTACTGTCAACTGTCTGGTTACCAACATTTTTCAAAATATCTTATTTTGTGTTCAACAGAAGAAAGAAACTCATACAGGTTTGGAACTACATGAGTGAGTAAATGATGACAGAATTTTCATTTTTGGGTGAACTATCCTTTTAATACTACAAGTATCAAGTTACACTGCCTTTCCTGTATATGTGCATTGTGCAAAGATGAAATCCTGCAGTGGTTTTAGACTTTATAATGACACCTTTCCGTGTGGATGGATAAAGTTTGTTTACTGCTTATGGCTACTGCTTGACATTTGTCAATTTTTTTGTGCATCAAGTCTCATATGAGGCACTTCCATATAACAGACATTCTTTGACCCAATTTCAAAGATTTTTTTCACATTGTGCTATTACACAGCTGAGTGCTACCATGTACTGTCACTTGCTGTTTGCAGGTCGGCAGTATACTTGGTGTGTTTATGATGAGTGTGTTATATTTAATTGTTATTATAAATAGTAGCAAGTGGGTAAATTGCATGGATGATCATTTCACGTCAACATGGCGGCGCCCCTCCATGTAAAATAAAAAATATATAGAAGACTGATACATCTAGACTAGAGTCTTCACGTCAACATATTTCTAAAAGTTGTTGATTTCTTTATGTATAACATATTTTTACTATAAAAACGACTGAGTGCACCCTTAAAGCTGAGAATAACACATTGGGTTGTACATTCCCATGCTTGGAATAGGAATACGTAACACAACCAGTTAGTTTTAAAGAAAGCTGCCTGTCACCAATAGTTGGATTTTGTTTTCTTTCTAGAACTCCGATCAAGAAAACAAAAATGTTCCAGGGTTAAACTGAGCTGGCATTATAACAAGATTATAGGGTCGAAAATATGTGTACGTGAAGCACATTTCACAGGATGTATACGGTAAACTGTCAACTGCTGTCAACACAAACCATCGCCTACCTACGCAATCAAATTATTGATGGTCAATCATCTGGGAGCTAACGTTAGCCGGTTAGCTTTCCCAAAAACGTTGATTTACAAATCAAGTTGGTCTTTTCCAGTCGTCTACTGTGAATTTAAGTAAAATTAGCTTCATTATCTGTTAGTAAAGCAATTATGTTAATTGTCTGGTGTAGTAGACTGACATTCAGTCTCTTAGACTTGTTAAACTAGCTCATGCTAACCGCAAATACTCACCGCGATTACGTTAACAAACGTCGTTTTGCCCGAATATTGCAGCCCGACGAGGGTTAATTCCATTTCTTCCTTCCAAAAGAGAGCCTTAAACCAGTCCAAGAGGCGGTTAATGAGTGCCAACATTTTGATGTAAGATTTTTCGGGTCTGTGTTGGTTTGGGCAGTTTGCAATGTTTTTCACCACTAGAAACGTAATGTAGTGTTTGGGAGGAACTGACCGCTGTCATATGACTGACTGTGAAACGTTTGCGAACTGAATGTGTGTTCATACGCGTTGAAGCTGCGCCACTTATGCGCAGGCCTGCAGTCCGACTCATTTCAGCGAATCGGTTCCTTCGAAAAGTTCATTACACACGAGCCAAAACAGTGATTCGTTTGTGTCATAAAGCACAGTGTGGCATTTTACAAGCTCAACCACGTTAAAACAAAACCATATGTAGGCTACTAGGCACATACTTGTCTTTTATTGTTTTGTTTTTATTGTTAAGTTTTATGATAACACTTTACAGTATAAGTTGCCCATGAAACTAAGAATGATCAATGTACTATTTGTTACAATAGTTATTAATCTTTGTTAACGTTAGTGAAAAAACAACTAGGCATATGCTTGTTAGTTCAGGACAGGTCCATTAAATATATTAACTTTTAATCTATTTATTTTTAACATTAACTAAGATTAATTAAATAGAAGCATTTTTTATTGTTAGTTCATGTTAACTAACATATAAATAATGTTAGCAAATGGAACCTTATTGTAAAGTGTTACCACTTTATTTTAATTTCACATGTCAGTTCAATGTATTGTTCCCATTATACAACTCATAAAACTTAGAACATAACATTTAATTTACAATAAAAAATACAGTTACATTTCCTTTCTAAAAAAAAAAGTCTTTGCACATTGTAACTCTATGACCATAAAATATAATAACTGCAAATAAAACAAACAAACTGCAACAAGATGACTTATACGTGTTGTTTAGCAAAAGTATCCAAGTGATGGATTTTATATATATCTGTAGAACATGGTGCATATTGATACAATAAATATAATGAATAATAGATGTGTTTGACAGTCAAATCCAAACAGATGTGAAAGTGAAACAACTGTCCTTAAAACAGAAATAGCTGCAAGCAGACAGAGAGCAAACTACTATATGTCATATTCACACATGTGATCAGAAGAACATTAATACAATAAGACAAACATGAAGCATTAGATGCTGGTCGTTGTGCCTTTTAATCTTTGGTGCAACTAAGACATATTTCTCTGTTCATTACCACATCCCAAAGGTTTTACCTGTTAAAAAATTAAATTTGTAATGTTTAATTATTACTTGCTTAAATATATAATTCACTAACTGTCCTCTGCTCTTTCCTAAAATCTGAAAGGCTGTCCTTTAATGGTTTAACACTGACAAGCTATACAGTATATCCTCTTGACTCAGCTTCAGAGAGCAAATGTTCCATCAAGGCAAAAACAAACATGTCGTCTTTTCCTATAACTTCAGCTCATGTGAATCTGTTTTGAAACTGAAGTGATAAGACCTTTGTGCGGATCCATTCAGAGTAACAAACTATAGTTAGATGTTATACTGCAAATCCAATCCAGTCTGTTGTAGAGAGTCTGTTCATTGGGTGTTCTTCAGATCACAGAGAACTTTCAAGGAAAGCTGTTGACATCACACTTGCTATATTCTTCTGATACCGAGTCAGATCCATCACCCATTTCCTCCTTGGAAAGTTTGCAACTGCATGTATCTGAGGGCAATACATGTGTGCACGGTTTTCTTACTGTGGAAAGATGGGATTATATCAGACATAGGAATTTCATTTACAAAAAATAATTTCATATTACATACAACAACGCATTTTGGATATGGTAACACTTAGCTTATAGGGTCTAATTCTCATTAGTTGCTTATTAACATGCATATTACTATAGGATATTGGCTGTTTATTAATACTATAGAGTAAATATGAATGGCTTATTCTGCATGACCATATTTTTACATCCATTAGTACCCAATTCCTACCCAATACCGAAACTTAACAACTATTTTACTAATTATTAATAAGCGGTAATAGGAGTTCATTGATGTAAAAGTTATAGTTAATAGTAAATAGTGAGAATTGGATCCTAAGGCAACTGAATGTAGCTTTTGTAGAATATTTTTATAAATTTTTCTAAAGGGTCAGGCTAGTAGCAGTAGAAACTTAATACATATATAGACAACTAGAAATTTGACAAACATGAAATTGTTACTTACATTTTATGAGCATCTTGTATTTGAAAATTTGGAAAGCAATGTACATGATAAAAACGAAGCAAGTCAACACGGTGACTATTAAACAGGCCACCATGAACGGATGAGACAGGATCCCGTTTTCTTGTTTGTCTGTTGGGTGGTCTGTCTCTTTACCATTTCTTACACCTATGGGACATTTAGAAGAAGTACCAGGGTTGTGTGAGAAATACCTTGTAAGATAACTATTTCGCATAGAGCATGAATATAGTAATTTAAGATTCCTCCTCAAAATCATCGATTCGTCAATAAATGCAATAGTAATATATTTAAATATATAGTATATATTTATATCATATAAATATAAACTTTCAGCTAGGGGTGTAACGATATTCGAACCGAACCGAAAAACCGCGATACAGAACCCATGATTCGAATCCCGATACTCTCGTGGCGTACTGAACAAGCCCCCTGCTATCCCGGCCCCGCCCAGCCCGGCTCATTGGACCTCATGTCCAATGTCTCATGTCCTCATGTCTTATTGTGTAGCTACACAACGAATTCAGTTATGAATAAAGGTATGTTGAAAGATACAGTAAACTTACTGAAAGGCATCATAACTCGTGTAATCGCTCAATCATGTTTCAGCAGCGGAAAGACGTCAATAAAACAGCATAGCTTGTCACTAGCATTATATTTACCTTAGCAGAAGTCATTCAGTGTCCACAGCTTGTTGGTTCGCTAACTCTTTCACTAAATAAATGCACTATATTAGCCTATATATTATATTTTACTTAACCTGTTAATCTTTGTTATTTAATGTATGTTTAAAATATCTTTCATGAAAATGACAGCAACTGTGTCAATTATTATATTTCAATAACAAATTAGAGTAGAAACATAAGTTAATGCAAAAACTGCCTTACGTTCAGTTTACATGTTTTCATACAATGTGTTGGGTGTTGATTATTATATCTAAAAAATAAATAGCATCTGAATTTAGGCTAAAAGTCTAGGCTCTGTTGTTAACCTTTAATGTTACAGTACGGCTCCCTATCTAGTTTACAGCATTAGCAGATTTTTTTTTGAATCCTTGCAAAACGTTTAATTGTAATTTAATTAATTTAAAGACAAAGACACATTTTTTTCATTAAACCACTGTTTAAAAAAAAACCCCAAAAAAGCTATTTTAGCTTTCTAAACCGAACCGAGACGTCAAAACCGTGGGAAAATTGAACCGTCAGTTTTGTGTATGGTTACACCCCTACACACTACATTTCAAAAGTTTGGGTTAAAAAGCTTTTTAACACTTTTATTTGGCAAGAATGCGTCAAATTGTTTAAAAGTGACAGTACTGTTAAAAGATTTGAATTTCAAATAAGGTTATTTAACTTTCATCAAAGGATCCTGATATGTCAACACAACTGTTTTCAACATTGATAATAAAGAATACATTGAGCACATTAGATCAGCATTTTAGAATGATTTCAGAAGGATCATGTGACACTGAAGACTGGAGTAATGATGATGCTGAAAATGAACTTTGCCATCACATTAATAAATTACATTTTAAACTATATTAAAATAGAAAACAGTTATTTGAAAATTTTATAGTAAAATTTCCCAATATCCCTGTCTTTACTGTATTTTTGATTAAATAAATGCAGCTTTGATGAGGATAAGAGATTTCTTTCAAAAAACATTACAAATCCTGCTGACCCCAAACTTTTAAACAGTAGTGTATCATACATTTTTAATTACAAATATGTAATATGAATGGAAATGGAACCCCATAATGACAGTATGTGTTTCAGTAGTAAAATGTACAAACCAGAAGATACACATCTTGCATTGTGGGTCTTGTTTCCAGGGATCACATCACCAACACACCTGATTGTGAAACTCAAGTTAACACCTGATAAACAATCTCAAGACTATTAATTTAAGCTCCAATGAAATGTAGCAAATACAAAGTTTTACTGTATAATGGATTTACACGTGCTGCCCTCAGCATCATAGTAAGTGTTTTTTGGACATGCTGGCTCACAAATGTAATTGTAATCAAAGTCACCTGTCAAAACACCAGAAAAAAGGCAATTGAAGGATTTAAAATAGTATCATGATTGAATCACTTTAATGTCTCTCTGTCCTCAAGCCCTCTACACACTATGACCATTAGAAAAGCCCCCAGGAAAGACACATAGAGAGGATGAGCTCTAAATATTAATCATTGTGGAGAGGAGACGTGTCATTTTTGTTTGATTAAATAAATTAAAAATGCCTTACCTCTTCTCCTCATTTTATGTCCAGGTTCACAGCTTATTCTTTTCTCACAACTGCTGCAGTCTTCATTTAAGCATAAATCATTATTACAGAAACATTTGACCTTACCCAAAGCAGGGTTTGGTGGACATTTCTCACACACTATGCCACTGTTCTCTTGCCATGATTCTTTGGGATACTCACCTGTCAAAACAAGTTTAAAGTAAGTTTGAGCATTTAATAATAATAATAATAATAATTCATTACATTTATATAGCGCTTTTTTTGGCACTCAAAGTGCTTTACATAGAAGGGGGGATCTCCTCAACCACCACCAATTACAATGTATTATTATTATTATTAATTGAATAATAATGCTATTAAATATAATGCTAATAAAGCTGTAACTCAAATTATAGATATAGAAGTTCAGCTCAAAACATCACCAACTTGAACACTCTAAATGCAATAATCATGAACAAAGAATAAATTACAACGTTTATAGTCTTGAGAATATCATGGTACTTACCCGAAGGGCAGGCTTTAAAACATTTCTTTCCAAGTTCATACTCGGTGGTCCAGTCACAGTTTATAGCCAGACTCGAAATCCAGCTGCCACAAACACAGAGCAGTGTAAACCAAAACCAGAGCTTAGCAATGTCCATTGTATCACAGCGGTAGATTGAGGATTGCTCTCTATTTTCATTTCTCACATTTTATAGTCTGACGTTACACCCACAAAGCAGAGGCGTGAGCATGACGAGGAAGAGCGAGGTCAAAACCAAAGAGCCCAGAACTGAGAGTGAGAACATGCAAAGACATGCAACAAGATGTGAATTTCAATTCTTGTAATCAACTCACTGGAAATCTTTCCAAAGAATTTCTTTGGAAAGCATGAGATCTGTGTACTTTTTTGGGAAAGATTCACTTTATGGGGTGGAAGAAATAAATGCCCCTGAAATTCTTTCATACTTTCCTTTTAAGGACAATGTATTTGATGCTGTTGGTTGACATGGAAAATATGGCTGGATGTGGATATCAAATACATATTTACTATAATTCACAGTTTCAGAGCATGAGGTTGTGGGTCATCATAGTCCATCCAAAAATGAAAATTCTGTCAACATTTACTCATCCTCATATTGTTTCCAAACTTTGGAGTTTTCTTTCTTCTGATGAATACAATAGAATAATGTATGTTAAAGTAACTTATTTTTATTCAACTTTCATTACACACTTACACATAAAGGTTATTTATTTGCATCTGTGGATCCATGAAGAACCTTTAACATCCATGAAACCTTTCCATTGGACAAAAGGTTCTTTATAATGAAAAAGGTTTGTTAGATCGTTAATATTAATGTTCTTCGTACTGGAAAAAAATTTCTTTGAAGATATGTTCACTGAAATGGTTATTCTATGCAAAAAACTAAAATATATAAAAGTAAATTCAGAATATCTTCTCTTGTGTTCTTTAAAAAAATGAAATCATGCGGGTTTTATCACAAGGCAGTCAATAGGGAAGAGCTACCTATCGTTCTGGTGAACCTATCGTTCAACTTCTCTTTAAATGTCAGCAAAAGTCACAAGTACACACTACAGTATAGCAGTAAGTGGCTGATGAAGTGACACTGCCGTCTCTAGATTAAGGTTCAGTTGGGTCAGGACCCACCAGATGGTTCTGTTGTGCAAAATGCACTGTACAGCAAGTGGAGAATGTCATGATAAAGACATTTGTGTGCCTCTGTGATGGGTTTGGCAAAATATTAATTGGGCCCCACCAAAAATTCATAAGTATACAAAGAAATAAAAAAAAATTGAGGACTTTTGGCACTTTTTAATTCAGAGACCTCGACAGAGATGATAATAAGTGATGGAGAAAGAGAAGAAGAGTGGTATCGACACTGAGCATCACGTCCTTATTGCTGTTGAAGCAGTGGCCTTGTGGTTATGTTCTCCATTGGTTGGTGTATATTTCAAAGAATCTAGGAAACCTAAGCAAACCACTATCACCAGTTTTGATAGGGATGACACAGAAACTAATTAATCACTGTCTGATATACACTTCTCCACCACCTACAGAAATGCTCTGCTATGGGTAATAAAAACATCACTGTCACCAGTGTTATCGAGGTAATCTAGACTGCCTAGAGAAACAGGAAGGACCACTTCTTTAGAAAGGATCTCTTAACCTTTCGTTGATATGACAACCGCCGTACCAGCCTGAGAGTCGTAAACAGTTATTTTAGTGTCATTTGTAAGATTATTTGATGTGAATGTGAAATACCATTCACATCCCATTTTAATACGGTAAAGTGATGTATTTCCATGTAAAAAAAAAATATATATATATTAATAAGAACGCATGGATTCAATGTGATCATGAAAAATGGGTTCCCGAACTACCACATTGCGTTAGCTGCTGATGCTATGGGGACACGCCCTTGAAGAACCCGATGTCTGAGGCACGTGTACAAAAAAAAAGCCATTCAACGGCTGACGCAGTGCAATGATGCCGCAAGGTGCATCACAGCGTATAAGAAGGGTGCCTAAGAACACGTCATGAACTTTTTTGTCTTCAGGAAGCTGCTTATTTGTGTGCTGTGTGAAGAATATGAAGGTAAGCAGAATATGGCAAGCAGACAATTCAAACACTGTGTTCCTCCATGATTTCCCATTGAGGAAATTCTGCTCCCGGCCGCTGAGCCCCGCAGCTTTAGCCTTGCATTTGTTGAGGCTGGTCGAGCAGGGTTATGGGTGGATGCCTCAGGTGGAAAGGAATTTAGCGAATTACCTTTCCTTCGGGACATCCTTATTGCTGAAGGCTCCTATTTTACCCTCTAAGTCTAAATCATGTCAGATGCACAATGAGGTTGGTGGGCAGAGTTTATGCGGCGGATGGGAAGACTGGTGGAGCTTTGCACACTATGACAGTTCTGCAGGTTTACCAGGCAGATCTGCTCAAAGACCTGGATCAAGGGGAGGGCGTATCCCCTGAGGCGGTCTCTGAACTGCGTATAGCCACAGATCTAGCTCTCCGTGCCACAAAGCAGGCAGCCAGCTCTATAGGGCCGGTCCATGACCGCTATGGTAGCAACAGAGAAGTATTTGTGGCTTAATTTGTCAGGGATCAACTCCCTGACGCCCATGTCTTGCCCTCTGGACTGTTTGGCACTGCTATAGAGATGGTGGTGAACAGGTTTAGATAGGCAAGAATGCAGTCGGGTGCCTTTGGGAAGTATATCCCTTGGAGGGTTCAGGCCCCTCCTAAATCGTCTATGCCCTTTCCAGGAACGAGTTCCTGGAGAGAAAAGCAGAAGGCGAGTGTGGCTACTTGAGTTCCCCCTTCGAGGAATGGGGGACAAAGATGTCGTAATAGGAGAAAGCCGCACACAGATTGGGAAGCTGTGGATGCAACGAAGAAAGAGGAAATTGATTGCGCAAGGCTGCGGCCCAAACTGTCACCCCCTTTTTTCATTCCTTTTAGCTCCTCCTAAATCGTCTGTTCCCTTTCTGGGAGTTAACCGTAATACAGAAGCCACACACAGATCTGGTTGCTTAAAAAAAGGCATGTGCTGAGCCTTCGCCCCCTTTCTCTTCTTTTTCTTCTTCTTCCTTTCTTCCAGTCTCCCCCTCCATCCCACCCCCTCTGAGGAGGGTGTTGGGTGTTGTTTTTAGATGGGAATAAATGTAGGAGATGACTGGCATCAGGTAGAGACTGGCACTTGTGACTATTTTTTAGGAATGGGGCGATCTAAACTGAGGTTGGGCCCACTCCTTACCCTAAAAAAAAAGAAAGGTGAGCTTGCTTTACTACAGCCCGAGAAGCCCTGATACCCACCGCTCGCCATGTTGACACTTTAATGGCTCGCGGCTGAGCACTCCGAGCATGGTGCTTAGGTTGTTAGTTTGAGGCATTGGTCAGCATGCAGGGTATTGGTCAGCAAGGTATTGGTCAGCATGGCGTAGTTGGTATGGCGTCCCCAGAGCGTTATCAGCTGACGCAGCGTAGAGGTTTCTTCGAATGGGAATGTCTTGGGGTTACATATGTATTCTCGGTTCCCAGAAGCGTCACGCTGCCATGTTTCGGGAATGCCTGCGCATTTTCCTTCAGACAATACAAATCTGAGGATGTGTTCTCAGATGGCCTTCTTATATGCTGGGACGCACCTTGCAACGTCATCGCACAGTGTCGTCCCTTGAATGGAGTGTTTGTGCACGTGCCTCAGACACCGGGCTCCACTAAGGTGTGTCCCCATATGGCAGCAACTGATGCAGCATCTTGTTCCCTTCTCAGGGAACTGAGGTAACAGATACGTAACCCAAAGATGATTTGTATAACAGAATGACCAGACCGAAGTTACATTTACTCAAATGCAAAAAAATAAATAAAAAATTTGGAATGAATTGCACATAAGACATGGTTTGATTTCATATCTGACAATCTGTCCAGCTGCCAATCAAATTTACTTTTTTACCTGGTGGGTTTGTCACTTTAACTCTGTTCCTTTCTTTTTACAGGTCCAAGTAGATCCTTTACACACTACAATTGACCTATACGGACAATCATATTACATCATTTATTTTTATGAAACCAAAATTCAAAAACATGAAATTGGAATCGGTCCTATTTACTTGCATGTATAGTATTATTATGACACTGATGCATTTTATTCCAAAGCAAACATTGTTTTGACATTTGTGTTGGACATTGTTTATCTTTCGCAATCAAAATGACGTGTGTTTCCTCTGAAATAACTTCCCTTTTCCACTGTTCTTCCATTGTCATTTTCTTTGTTATGTCAGTGGAATGATATTATATTCTTTACTTTTATATTCTTTGCTTGACCTGTAATTAAAAGTAAATTGTACATTTATTTTTAACAAAGACTATTGGAACAAACATCTTTGCTCACGGTAAGCTAATGGATGCTTAAATATCTATATGTGTGTATGAGAGAGATTAGGATGAATCGTGCAGGTTTGCATGTCAGCTATGTCCTTTACTAAAAGACGCAAGAACCCGCACAAACATCAACTATTCACACCTCACACCCCTATACTGACAGCGCTAAATGAACTTTGTTTGCATCTGCATCTGAGCTTATGTGATTGTAATTGTTTGAATAAGATTTCAAGAGGAAAAGCCTGAGATTTCAAGACCTTCAAGTAGAGAGAAGGGAGCGACAAAGGGAATTGTGCACTGTTGTGTATCAAGGGATGTAAAATAATGACACTTGTTTTATGCAGTAAGTTTTTTTAATTTAATCAACAGGATGTATAAAGGGGACCATCAAAATAAAGTGTTCCCCATGCATTTACTAGCTGATAGCAAATGAGGCTGAGGGTTGAAATGAAATTGTCAAACTGATATTTAAGTGATATTTTTTTCTGTATTGAACGTCAATTATCATAAAAGTTATTGAAGAAAAAAAACAGATGATGATGTCATAAAGAAGAGGTGGTCTGCTGCGTGTACGTCTTGCAGTGTCATTTTCACGTCATGTGGTTTCATTTAGAGTTTCCCCTTCTCTCTTGTGCACCCCAGGCAAAGCAGCCGTTTCAGTGCAGCTGACTGTAGTGGTCTAAGTGAAATGTCATGTGCATGAGGTTAATGTTACGAAAGCATACATCTAGCAATGACACATTAACACTGTGCTTTTTCATTTTTTCTTTCGGTTTAGAGTAGCCTATGCTATTAAAATTGATGAGCACATGTACGTCACAATAATTGTGATCACACTGCAC